CTATGAGGTGGATTGATTCAGTGACTGGGATAATCGGGCTGGAGTGTCAGAGACAGTGTGATTGGCACAGGACAGAGCAGAGTTTAGGGCTGTTGTGCATAGGGTCGCTATGAGTCGCAAGCGACTCGACGGCACTTAACAACAACAATATGTGGAACAGATCATTTGGGCTTTATGTAGAGGAATGTGTCAATAGCACTGGAGGAAGCTTCATCAATAACCTGTGTTATGAAGATGACACAATCTTGCTTACTGAAACTGAGGAGGACCTGAGACATTTGCTACAGAAGGTCAGAGAATGCAGGATTCAATATAGATTGAAGCTCACCATAAAGTAAACAAAGATTCTCACCACTGGGCCATGGTCAGTATCATGATAGATGAAGAGTGAGCTTTTTAATAATTTCAGCTTACTTGGTTTGACAATCAACACCAGCAATCAGGAAATCAAAAGACGAATTGCACTGGGAAAATATGCTGTCAGGATTCAGTACTCTATGGAGTACTAAAGAGCAATGATGTCAGTCTAGAGACTAAGGTTCACCTGATCCAGGCCTTGTCCTTTGCAATTACTTGCTATGCATCAGAGAACTGGACAGTGACCAAGGATGATAGAAGAAGGATCTATGGTTTTAAGCTGTGTTGCTGGAGTAGAGTACTGAAGAGACTGTGGACTGCCAAGAGAAAAAACAGGTCTGTCCTGAAAAAAGTGAAACAAAGCTGCTTCTGGGAGGAAGGGATTTCAAGGTTCTGCCTCATATACTTGGGCATATTGCCAGGAGGGATCAGTCCTTGGAGACGGACATCATCCTTGGAAGGGAGGAGGAATGGTGCAGGAGAGGAAGACCCTGGATGAGATGGATTGACTCTGTGACTAGGGTAATAGGGGTATGTGTGTTGGAGACAGAGAGATTGGCTCTGATTGGGCAAGGTTCAGAGCTATTGCATATAGGGTCTCTATGAGCCACAGGTGGCATGATGGCACATAACAAGAAGTAACATGATCATATTTGCACTTGAACTATTCTACGGAATAATTTTTTTCTCCTTGAAAACTGACAAGTAAATTCATTTTTTATTTATTTATTGAGCAAATATTAGTTTAGCATATTAGTTAATGCAAGAGATTACTTCTGAGGATATACAAAAACATAAGCATACAAAATATAATGATTTCCACTGCAGAGAGATTCTTAAAAGTCAAGATTCATGTAAAAGTTCATATTTAAACTTTTCATACCCACTTAAAGAAATTTTAGTTGAAGTAATTAGTTTTACACATTCCCAAGAGCCACTGTAGAAAACAAAGCAGGCACATACTTTATAACTGATTTAAAGGAACAAGTTAAATCTGTCAAATACCTGTTAAGCCAGTCAAACGACACTTGAACGCCAGGTCTTCAAATGCTTTTAATCCTCAGCCTGGAGAATATACCAACTGAACGGGCAGGCTGCCCTCTCTTTCAATAGATGCATGCTGACACTTCATCTTTGAAGAAGAGTTAAAATTCCATCCCTTAATCTGAAAATAATGATTTAAAAATCTGGCTAAGGCTGAGATACTGTTTGTATTAACCTGACAGACAAGTGCTGCCTCTATATCCTAACATGATAAAAAAAGAACTTTCCATTCTGCCTATCTGGAACTAAATAATTTGCTTAAACACTTGATATTATATTCCTCCCAGTTTTTAAGAGTGTGGAAGTTGAAATCTGTCATGATGAAGTTAAATTATACAGGATTCTGCAGAGAGAAGTTTCTAGAATATATTTGACAGATTCCCTTTTCAACAAAGGTGTTATTGTAGATAAGTTCAGATTTTTTTTATAAACTAGGTTTTGCACACAGATTAAAATGCAAATGGCTTTGTTGAACTAAAATGGAAATCTATAAATGGAAATTGTCTATAGTTTGTTCCAGTGGAAGAAATTAATAATTAATTTTTAAAAACATTAAAAAAAAGGACGTCACAGACCCATCAAATAACTAAGCTATTTCCGCCCCCCTCTTCATAATACATACAGTCACAAATAATACAATAAATTCAGTCACTCAGTGTCCTTTTCTCCGACAGGAGCAAAGGAGTGAGACCAGCCAAGAAAAGTGAATCATGTGACAGGAGGAAGGCAAAGTTGCCCATACACTTTTTCCATTTCATGTGCCCTCTGGAAGGACAAAAGGGGAAAAGCAGAACTGATTGTGAATGTTACCTTTTCACATTCCAGACGCTGCAGGCAACCACTGCTGTATGCCATGTGACTGGTGTTTTAATAGCTGAATTTATCCATACTCCCAATTTCTTAAAATGTGTTGAAAATACAAAACACAATCATGTTAATTTTACTTTATGTAATTGGATAATCTAAGTATTCTGCTTCCTCATTGATTCTGATTAAAATTAAATTTGAGGAGGAAAAAAAAAGAGCTGGGTTAAAGTAAACGGTAAATGTTTTTATGGATAAACTTTTAATTGGACTGTGGTTGTTTATTACTGCAGTGTAGGGTTTTGTATTGTGAGCTTCGCTTTGGTTCATAACTAACAGTCACATTCCCTGGGCTCAGCCAGCTTTTAATGAAATAAAATGTTTATTGACCTTCCAATTGGTTCTTTCACTCCGCTAGGTGCCCAGATGATTCTGAGGAAATTAGATTTGGCACCAGTTCTCAAGCAGTCACTTGACACCATAGCAAGGCACCATAGCAACTAGAATAAACTAACCTTGTCTCATACTGTCTAAGGGCTCATAATGGTACTCGAGCTTTGCATGAACGGGCTCAGTTAAACTTTAGACAGTTCTGAGTATTATCATGCACCCTAATTTGCAAATGAAGACACACTATCTAGGGCATAAATACATACACATCAGCATCTGGTGAACAATCTCTGGGGTTTCTGGGCCGACTTTGCTAGAAAAATATTGGAAAATGATTACTTAGAGGATGGGAAAGAAGGATCCCAGGGGCCCAGCCTGCTTGGCTGGCCACATCTCCTGCAGATAGGGTTTGGCTGGTTCTCAGAGCAAAATTCCATAAACTAGGGCCAGGAATTGGAGGAAAATGGACAAAGAAATGGAAAAAGAGGAACTTGGCCCATGCAGGGAAGGCGAAGCAGAAACCCTAGTGGAGTGTCTCCTTGCTATCTGCACATATGGCTTAGACAGGAAAAAGTAACAAACTCTTGCGAGAGGTTTTCCTGGGCCCACCGGGTCCTCAAAGCCAAATCAGACTCGGAGGAGGGCAAACACGTGCGTCTTCCCACTTTAAGGGTCAGCATGGCAAGTGCCCACATGTTAAGCGGCCCGTAAGGCGCCCGGTGGGCGGGCGGAGGATCGAGGTCGAAGGAGCCCCGGGAGCGGGCGGCCACAGTGTGCAGGGGCGCTGAGCGCTGGAGGCGGCGGACGTCACCGACGCACGGTCGAGCCTCCAGCCCGCCCCCCGCGCGCCTTCTCGCCCTCCCTCCTCGGTGACGCGGCCGTGGTTGGTGAAGAGCACACAGCACACTGACACCCGCACACCAGCCCTCCGCTTTCTCCGTCCGGGTACCCCGAAGATGGCTGCTCTCAAACTCCTCTCCTCCGGGCTGCGGCTCTGCACCTCCGCACGCGGCGCCTGGTCCAAGGTAAAGTACCCGCGCACAGGAGGGCCACGCACGCCGGAAGAACACGGAGGGAAGCCGGAGCGGTGCCCGCGCTTCCTCCTCTGCTCGCACCCTCCCGCCCCCGACGCTGGCATCTGTGAGCGATGCCCGCCCAGCCAGGAACCCCGCCGCTCCTCGGCATCGATGCCCAGTGGGGCGAGATGAGGCAGAGAGGCCGGTGGCGGGGCAGAGAAGGGCGGGAGGACGCCGGGCTGCACCGCCGCGCCCTGCGGGCGCTTCCCTGGCGCGCGTCTCTGCAGCGCACTGTGATCGCCCTTGAGATAGAACCCTATCAGCCAGCTGGGGACGAAAGGGACGCTGGCTTAAGGAGAGCAAACGGGAGAGGCAGCAGGTGATAGGTTTGCACCTTATCAAAAGGAGTTTAAGGATAGGAGCTTCTTAGAGGCCCGGCGTCCGAGCCAGGTTACCAGAGGCCCGGCAGGAGCTTCGCGCCAAGGGGGTGGCTGCTGGGCGCGGCGGTAGCGGCATCCTGCTCCCCACCCTTCTCTTCCCTATAAGGCTGTGCCTGGCGGTGGTGGCAGAGACTGGAAGCAGGACTTGGAGAGCTCTCCCGGAGTGCTGGCGTGGAAGGCGCCCTGCTGTCTTGGTGACCTAGAGGCGCGCGCTGTCTCTGGGAGCCAGCCTCTGTCTCCTGGGACAGCTAGTATCCGGTTTAGGGGTGTCAGTTTATTTTACTGCCGACTTCCCACCTCCACCCCCTCACTGCTGTCCGGAAGCGCTCTCACCGCGTGTTGTTGGTGGTTGTGTCTTTGGCCCCTTGAGCTTTCAACCAGCCTCTGGTAAAGTTCTTGCTGGAGTCTTTGGCTCTGAGGGATATAGCATCTGAGCGTTTGGTGCATGTAGCTAGCTTTTATAGTAAATGTGCTGGCCTCTTCCTTGCAAGGGAAAACAAAAAGTTGTGTTTATTTCCTCCGAAAACCTGCTGGGGGATCAGCTATGGGTCAGTTCTGACTGGATAGCACACAACAGCAACAACAGTGTAGCGTGCCTTGGTGGCACAGCAGTTGAGCAGTTGAGGTGGGCCTTCATAACTTAAAGCAGTGGCGCCACAGGAGATGTGGCAGCCAGTTTCTGTAAAGATCCCCGTTTTAGAAACCCCTTAAGGCACTTCTTATCTGCCCTGTAGAGTCTCCATGAATCCAACTGACCAACTCAGTGATTTTAGTTTGTGAGTAAATTGAATACCAATTCTGAGTTTGACAGCGTGCCATGCACTCTGGGCTCCTGCCCTGCCCCGTCCCAGTGTTTTCTCTTTCCCAAATCCTTTCTAAATATTAAGCAATGATCTCGACCTCATAATTATACCCTTAAGTGGCTCTTAGGAAACATTTCGGTACTTGCAGATAACTCTGGATAGACAAAGCATTATTAAAAGGAATGTGATTAGTCAGAATGCTTCCTACTGGTGCCCAAGTTGATGCAGACTAGGTTATAGAGATACCCTTGGGCCAAGGTCAATGAGCATTCCCTTCCCTGGCAGTTACTTATTTGCCTAAGTGTAATTAATTCACTTCCTGTAGGTTTGAAGTAATTCTCTTTCATTCCTAAGGAATTAAAAAGCTACTGCCATAAAGTTGAAATCGACTTGTGACTCTCCAGCCAGTTTCTAAGACTGAAAATAGCAGGTGGGAGATTGCCCATCTTTTCTAGGGAGGACTAGACGCTAAATTCTACTTTCCATTCCCCACAGAGTATTGTTAGTGGGAAAATAAACATAAAATTACTACTAGCAGTTTACTTCCTTCCCTGTCTTGAAACTCTACCACATTTTGCCAGTTTTTGACTCCCAAGCCACAGCCCAGAGAGCACTGGTGGCCCAGTAGGTTGGGAGGCAGCGCCTCCCTGGTGGTTCAAATTCACCAGCAGCTCTATGGGAGAAAGATGAGCGATCTACTCCCACGAAATTTAGCGCCTTGGAAGCCCAGTGGGGACTTAGCTCCGTAGCAGTGAGCCCTTCAACAATGGCTGCTTACTGGTCAACACCACCTGGATTGTTTTCAACAATGCAAACTTTTTCTCAATCATATTGAACCAGCCCCAAAGTAGTTCTCCTTTTAAAACTTTTCTTTCATTGTGGTGAATAGCACTACTCTCCATCTGGTGGTGTAAGCTGCACATCTTGGAGCCATCCTGCCTTATTCTTCCAATGCTGATCTTCCCACTCTTGACCACACTAGTTATAGTTCTCCCTGATAGCATGCCAAGTGAGTATTATGATGCTTAGGTTTATTTAGTGAACACATTAGTTTGTAAGCTTTATCACAGCAGGGACAACATCTGCTTTATTTATTTTAGTTCTAAAATCAGGTTCTCCATTATTTAGTATGTTGTTGTTAGGTGCTGTTGAAGCAGTTCTGACTGTTGTTGTTGTTAAGTGCCATCCAGTTGTAGATGAGTCATAGCAACCCTATGAATGAAAGACCTGAACACTTGTATAACATCCGTCATTTCTCCAAGTTTATAGAGTTTCCAGAGGCAGGTTATTTCAGAAGTGGATGCCACTCCTGCTTCCAAGCTTGTTTTAATCTGGAAGCTCCACCAAACACTGTCCATCATGGGTAACCGATATCACATCTGATACATGATTGTCATAGTGTTCAGCATCACAGTAACCACAAGTTACCGCTGTACAGCAAATGGACAGACCAGTGCCATATGACTTAGAAGAATGTTTGACCAAAACCTGTTAAAACCAGGCCTGAGGGCCCCAGATTCAAATCACCCACCTTTGACTTGATAGCATAACTTTCTATCCACTAGGCCAACAGAGCTCTCTTGTTGTTGTTAAGTGCCATTGAGTTGTAGATGACTCATAGCAATCCTATGACTGAAAGACCTGAACACTTGTATAACTTTCATCATTTCTCCAAGTTCATAGTTTCTGGAGGCTGACTATAGTGATCCTATATACAGTATAACTGAATGCTGTCTCGTCTTGAGCCCTCCTCATAATCGCTCCTCTGCTTGTGCCCCTTGCTGCAGCCCCTGTGTCAGTCCATCTTGTTGAGTATCATCTTTTTCACTGAACTAGTATACCAAGGGAGCTCTGGTAGCCTAGTGGTAGGAAGCTGTGCTGCAGTCCCAGAGTCATGTGGTTTGAGGCCACCAACTGCTCTATGGGAGAAAGATGGGCAGTCTCCCCCTGTGTAATTAATTGTCTCTGAAAACCCACAAAAGAGTCAGCTATGGGTCGGTTCAACTTGATGGTACACATCAAAACAGTTTTCCAAGGGATCGCTTGTGGCCTAATGGTAAGAAGCTGCACTGCATTCCCAAAGGCACTCTGTTCAAATCCACCTGCTACTCCACAGGAGAAGGTTGGGCAGTCTCCTCCTATGTGATTAACTGCCCCTGAAAACCCGCTGGAGGATCAGATATGAGTTGGTTCTAACTCAGTGGAACATGCTTAACAACAAGTATACGAAGCATGATATCCTTCAGGGACTTGCCTCTTTTGATAACATATCCAAAATATGTGAGAAGTCTCACTAACTTTCCTTCTTAGAAGTTATAATTATTGCAAGGAAATTTGTTCATTCATCTGACAGTTCATAGTGTATTCAGTTTTCACTATCATTCTTCAAAAGTAATTCAAAGACTTTTTTTTTATCTTCCTTTTTCCTTGTCCATCCTTTTACATGTATTTGAAGCAATTGAAACTATCATGGCTGGGGTTCAGCATACTTTAGTCATCAAAGTGACATCTTTGCTTTTTAACACTGTAAAGAAGTCATTTTCAGCAGCTTTTCTCAGTCCAATAAGTCATCTTATTTCTCAACTGATGCTCTGTAGTATTGATTATCAATCTAGGTAAAATGAAATCCTTGGTAACTTCAGTACTTTCTCTATTTTACACTGATTATTGGTAGGAGTTCTGAAGAATTTTTTTTTATTTTGAAGTATAACAAGAAGACAAAACAAAGTAATACAATGAAATGTGCAAAGAACTGGAGTCAGAAAATCAAAAGAGACAAACTCACTTGGCATTTCTTAAGCTGAAGAAACAGAAAAACACATTCAAGCCTTGAGTTGCAGTACTTATGGATGCTTTGGGCAGAATGTTGAATGATCCAGGAAGCATCAAAAGAAGAGGGAAGTCTGATACAGAACAATTTCAATGAAACAGCATATGATCTAGAAGAAATGACAATGAATGAGGAAGTACAAGCTACACTGAAAGAATTGGCAAAAAACAAAGCCCCAGGAATTGATGAACTATCAGTTGACATATTTCAACAAACATGCAGCCTTGGACGCACTCACCAGGTTGTGCCAAGAATCTGAAGGACAACTACTTGGTCACCTGACTGGTAGAGAATCATATTTATTTGTATTCCAAAAAATGTCATTCTACGGTGTGGAAATTATAGAACAAAATTGCTAATATCATACACAAGCAAGATCCTGCTGAAGATTATCCAACAATGGTTGGAATAGTACATTGACAAACAACTTCCAGATGTACAAGTGGGGTTTAGAAGAGGCCATGGCACTAGGGGCATTCTAATCAATGTTAAATGGATCTTTGCTTCATTCATGTGTTTCATTGACTTTGCCAAGGCATTTGACTGTGTGGATCACAACAAATTGTGGCTAACCTTGAGAAGAATGGGAATCTCAGAACACTTGATTGTGCTTGTGTGAAACCTATGCTTGGACCAGGAAGCAGTCATCAGAACAAAGCAAGAAAATTCTGAATGGTTCAAAATCAGAAAATGTGTATGTGGGGGATGCATCCTATCACCATATCTTTTCAATCTATATGCACAACAGATCATTCTGGAAGCTGGGCTTTATGAGGAGGAGTATGGCATTAGTATTGGAGAAAGACTCATCAACAACCTCTGTGCTATGCAAATAACACAATCTTGCTTGCTGAAACTGAGGAGAACCTTAGGAGGAAGTCTGCTGCAGAAAGTCAAGAACTACAGCCTTTAATATGGGTTGAAGCTGAACATCAA